TATAAATACTAAAAAGATATAAAAAATATTAAAAAAATTAAATCGGTCAATATTCTAATTAAATACAACAAATTTAAACAAAATTTAAATAAACTAAACTTAAATTATCATAAATTTATATTCATAAAAAAGGCAAAACTAGAGTACGAAAATCAGCAAACAAATCTTTCTAAGGCAGTTACTCTTTATGTATATATAAAGGAATCTTTCCAAAGGACTTACTCGCTCTCTATGTACATAAGGTATAGGTCCTTAAATATTCACTCGACATCAATGAATGCTTCTACTGCTGCTGTCTGTCTGTCTGCTGTCCAAAATTTAAGCGCACAAGCGCTCAGCCGCTAATTGAACGCAGTGTAGGGGTATAAAAATAAATTAACATACATTTATTAAATGAAGATAAGATCGAAATACGCTCCACTTTGATTTGTGGGCGACCAATGGGCCGTATGCCGTATGCTCTGCCAACTACTATATAAAACTGTTGCCCCATTGCTGTGGCGCTCATTTCGGCATCGTCGGCAGCTTCGAGCACATTTTCGTGTCTTTTTCAACAGCGAATTTTCGCGAATCATTTGGAAAGAAACCAGCTTGAAATGGGGGAGCGCGGTTATAGTTTGCTGCAATATGCGACGGAGCGGGCGCCGCTGCCGTTGGACGGGTACACGCCCGAGGAGGCGGACCAGTTCAAGGACACCTTTCGGCAGAAGATACTCGACGACCTGAAGTCGATGAGCGGCGACCAGCTGATCGAGCTGGTCAAGCAGAACGCCAACAAGGTGGAGGAGGAGGAGCAACAGCAGATTAAAGCTGGCGCCCAGCCGAATCCCGTGCAAGACGACGCCGACCTGATCGATGCGAACATCATCGCCGAAATGGTGGCGGGCATCTGCACCAAGAGCCAAAAGGCCCTCTTCATCAAAGTGATTACCAAGTACATCAGGTAACAAACAATTGTGAACTGCGAAATGTGCTTTGTGCTTTGTGAATTGTGAATTGTGACTCAGGCCGAAGACGAGCCCCTGTGATAAGCCTGCGATCTGGGTGCGTTATCTGGCCGAGCATATTGCGAGCAGACATTAACCATATACGTGATATGGTATATCCATACACATTATATGCCAATAATGGGCACAATATTACACACGACGGCAAAGGCAAATAGCTGCGGGTGTTTACATACTTTGAATGGGGAGTTAATTAATTTATTTTATTGGCAATAACATGATTTAGAAATTAGCGCCTTTTCACCCACAGACGCACCGTCTGTCTCTCTCGTTCTCACTCACTCTCGTTCTCGTTCTCCTTCGCTCTCTCGCTCGCCGTCTCGCTCGTTCAACAATAAAAATCACACATTTGGCTAATGTATAAAATGTCCGATCGTCGCGTAGCCGCAACACAGTTGAGCTTTAGGTTCAGAATATTACGCATACGCCATGGTGATAACGGAGGATATAGTTGCGCTGAAGCGCCAGAGCGAGGACGGCGAGGCCAAAGAGCGCGAGGAGATCTATAGGCACAACAAAGAGCAGGAGACAACCGAGACAGCGGCCATAATCGAGGAGATCATCGAGGGCATCTCGCTGCAGAATCGTCGCGGCACCATAGTGCGCACTATATCGGCGATAATCAGGTATACATCGGGTTGCAGCGAAGGTATACATAGGGCGTCTGTATAGCACCTATATCCTATATATATATAGGATATAGGATATGGTATGCATACAGGGCATATGTGGGGAAGCTATAGCGTAAACCTATGCTATATCTGGAGAACCTCTATAGGACAGCCAGATAATGCATATATGGGCTGTAGCTCATGTGTGGGGTATCCTATAGAAGACATCTATAGGATGCTATACAACTTAATTACTATATATAGGCATATGAAGGCAGCCCACTGGTATAAATAAGCGTTATATAGAGTATATGTAGGGTATTTACAGGTCATCTATTGGATACATATAAGGTATATACCTAGGATAGAGTGTACCTATATAATATATAGGCCATTAATAGGATACCCAGATGGTATATAAACGATATTCAGGACATGTATAATGGGTATAGTGTATCTAATGGGTCCTTTATGAGTAGTATATCATATAAATAGCAAACAAACCCACACAGTGACACACCCTCTCAGTCCACAATTGCGTTTATAGCACAACATATGGCAGACCCCCACTACACATATTCACATACATAGATAATTATATATATATTTGCTATATATATTTTATTTCCTTAGAAATCAGCGACGCAACTATTCGATAAGGCCGTGAGTAAATTTTGGATGGTGTTTCCCTGCGTGTTTTATATGCTTTTCGATTTAGTTTTGTGACACCCCGGCAAACAAGCCAAAGACTCCGCTATACCACTCGCTTTTAGTTGATATATAGCGCCACAACAATTATATATGTATATATTTATTTATTGCTTGATCAACTCTAGTCGTAACTTTCGACGCATTCAATTTGTGCTTTAATTGAGTTCAATTGGAATTTGACAAGAACTATATATATATATATGTGTATATTTATTTGATAATTGAGATTTCTTGTATTTAATTTCCTTTTGTTTTCGATCAATTTGACGCGGACGAGGCGCAGCCTGGCAACTCTGGCTGGCTCTATATTTAGACCTTTGTAGCTGAACTGTAGCCAGGTCTAGACGTTTGTTTGCTCGTATTATCACCTGCCCACACTTGTTTTGTTTAGAGCTTTACCTATAGTTGTAGTTTAAGTAAATCGCCGTAGCTTCTAGCTTTTTTTTCCACACAAGCATGCTAAATGATTTCCCGCCGTCTCTTAACGAAGTTTTGGCCAACTCTTAATGAATTCCGTAAACCCTCTTCTCGTTTAGCCATCGCGAGCAGGAGCAGCGCAACGCGGAGGATGTGCTCTTCGATATGTTTGCCAGCGAGGAGACGGGCCTCATATCCATGGGCAAGTTCCTGGCCGGACTGAAGACCACGGGCATACGGCGCAATGATCCGCGCGTGCGCGAGCTCATGGACAACCTGAAGAAGGTGCACAAGCTGAACAACTACGAGACGGGCTCGTCGGCCGAGACTCAGCATCTAAACCGCGAGACCTTCAAGGCGTAAGTCTAGCCTGGGCCCAGTCCGATCCATGATCCTTCATTATTCTTTTCTCTGCTTCGTTTTCAGCGTGGTCTCGCCGAACATTGTGCTGATTGCCAAGGCATTCCGTCAGCAGTTTGTCATCCCGGACTTCGCGAGCTTCGTCAAGGACATTGAGGAAATTTACCATCGCTGCAAGTCCAACACTCTCGGCAAGCTGGCCGATTACATTCCCCAGCTGGCGCGCTACAGCCCCAACTTCTGGGGCGTCAGCATTTGCACAGTGGACGGACAACGCTTCTCCATTGGCGATGTCGAGGAGCCCTTCACGCTGCAGAGTTGCAGCAAGCCACTGACCTATGCCATCGCCCTAGAGAAGCTGGGACCCAAGCTGGTGCACTCGTTCGTGGGCCAGGAGCCAAGTGGCCGCATCTTCAATGAGCTCGTTCTCGATCAGAATAGTGAGTTGGCATTGAGCATGCTCCATGCTGGGACTTAGCTAACCCTAACCTACTCCTGCTCCTGCTCCACAGAGAAACCGCACAATCCGATGATCAATGCAGGCGCCATACTCACCTGCTCGCTGATGAGCGCCTTGGTCAAGCCCGACATGACCTCCGCGGAGATCTTTGACTACACGATGTCCTGGTTCAAGCGCCTGTCTGGCGGCGAGTACATTGGCTTCAATAATGCCGTATTTCTCTCAGAGCGCGAGGCAGCCGATCGCAACTACGCCCTGGGCTTTTATATGCGCGAGAACAAATGCTTCCCGAAGCGCACAAACCTGAAGGAGGTGATGGACTACTACTTCCAGTGCTGCTCCATGGAGACGAACTGCGAGGCGATGTCTGTGATAGCCGCCAGCCTGGCCAACGGCGGCATTTGTCCCACCACCGAGGAGAAGATCTTTCGCCCGGAAGTCATCCGGGATGTGCTCTCCATAATGCACTCGTGCGGCACCTACGACTACTCGGGACAGTTCGCCTTCAAGGTCGGCCTGCCAGCCAAGTCGGGCGTCAGCGGCGGCATGATGCTGGTCATTCCCAATGTGATGGGCATCTTTGCCTGGTCGCCGCCTCTGGACCAGCTGGGCAATACGGTGCGCGGCCTGCAGTTCTGCGAGGAGCTGGTCAACACCTTCAACTTCCATCGCTACGACAACCTGAAGCATCTGTCCAACAAGAAGGATCCGCGCAAGCATCGCTACGAGACCAAGGGCCTGTCCATTGTCAATCTGCTCTTCTCCGCTGCCAGCGGGGATGTCACGGCTCTGCGTCGCCACCGTTTGTCCGGCATGGACATCACCCTGGCCGACTACGATGGCCGCACCGCCCTGCACTTGGCCGCCTCCGAAGGGCACTTGGAGTGCGTGAAGTTCCTGCTGGAGCAGTGCCATGTGCCACACAATCCCAAGGATCGCTGGGGCAATCTGCCCGTGGACGAGGCCGAAAACTTCAACCACTCCGATGTGGTGGAGTACCTGAAGAAATGGGCTGAGAACGCCAAGGATGCGCCGCAGCAGTGCATGTCGGACGCCGTCACCACCAAGACCGAAGCTGATGAGGTGAGTGCTGCAGATTAGATAAACCCCGAATCGTATCTATATATGTGCATATGAATGTGCCTTTCAGGAGCTACCCTGTAATCCGGACGATGTAGTTGCCAGCGGCATATCCAGTCCCATTCCAACAGTATCGGAGCCACGTAGCCCCAGCCCCGTTTCCTCGGAGGACGGCAGCACGGTGAGCGGCACCAGCGTGGACAAGACCAAGCCCGGCCTCTAGAGACCTATGGATAGACATATATAAATATATACATACCTATAGAATCTCGCTTAAATTATTTTCTTAATCATCTACTTAGTTAATATACAATTTTAGTTAGCTATCCGAGTTGTTCAGACTTGTGAGCCCAACATACATACCATATATAATATACACATATATACATATATACTTATTAATGCTACTCTGATCAAGGCGAATATAGACGGCATTTGTACTTTGTAGGGTTTTAGAAAAGCATTCGAAGATCCGTGCTGGAATCCAGACAAACCATTGAAAGCAATGACAATAAAATGTATTTGAAAATCTACAAGATATCCCACAGCTATATATACCATATATACATACGATATATACAACATATACATATACATAATGTTTACATGTGTGACTTGTAAATTTATATATTCTTGTATCTACTACAGAATTGTCAATTGAAAGTGTTTCGATGTTAATCATAGAGTCGCGTGTTTTAGTTCCTTTATTTAGTTTCTTTGTCTACATGTATAATACATTCAATAAAATCTATCGAAAACTCCAAAGATTGAGTGTGTTTTAATTATTCAGTTGAAAATGTAAACCCAGCTACAAGTCGGGAAGTTTAATAAGCTGAGTAAGCTTTGCAGATTCAGGCTGAAGATTGGATCCACTCGTTCTACAGCTTATACGGTCTTGTATTTTTGCTGTTCTTCAACTACTTTATTGTACCCTCCCTTAGCATAACTTTCTAAGGATTTTAACTGTTTGGGCGATACAGCTCTATATACTTGGATTGAAGGAAATCTGCAAGCAAACCGACTCTTGCTTTTTGTATACAAATAAATAAAAAATGACACATCCCGAAATCAGATTTTTGATATTGACAGACCATATCAATTGTTCACATATCATTAAATCTTTTCCAAATGGTTTATCAATGACAGCCTTCTAAAACTAATAGCTGAATCACTAGTATTTAATATAACTAGTGCAAATCTATTTTTTAGACCGCCTTATATATAATTCTATATTTTTTCTGATGAATATGAAAATTCTATTACCAAAAATCATATAGACCGCCTTATATATAATTCAATATTCTTTCTAATGAATCTCAAAATTCTATTACCAAAAATCATACAGATATTTTTTGTCTAGTTCATTGACTAATACTCCCGCTCGCGCTTAGTTGATATAAAATTTCCCCCAACTTTCATTGCTTTCGTACCACGACACGCAGTTGTGTGTGCTCGCGCTTCCAAGTTCGAAAGCGCCGCAGCGAAACGAAGTTCGAAAATTCGAAATGCGCCGCTGCCGGCTGCCGGCAAGCGATTTAGTTCAGTTTAGTTCGGACGCAGCATTCGAGGCGAGTGGACGGCGCAGTATTCGGGTTTGCTCTCAGATTTAAATCGGACATCGGACAGCGGACATCGGGCGGTTGCACATTTAGCTGAAATGATAAATTCACAGCTCGATTAGCTTAATCATACGGCAGTGGCGCCCTTAATTAGTGAATATATTTATATACAAATTGTAATTGTAATTGAATTATTAAGTCAACAAGCTATTTGCATTCTCGCATAGCTCGCACATTACGCACTGCATAAAAACTTGGGGTAGGTTATAGAAAGACGACTGATTATTTGTATTGTTTGGCAGCAGAGCAAAAACGAAAACAAAGACAGCAGCCGAAGCAGCAGCAGCAGCAGCAGCAGCAGCAGCATCCGCAGCATCCGCAGCATTAGCAGCATCAGCCACAACAACTACTGCAATTGGCCAAAATTCACAACAAAAAAATCAAACTTTTTTTTCGAGCTGTGTCTGTGTGTGAACCTTGCTTAATCGGATTAGCTTGACTACTATATAGTCGAGCAAGCCGCAGAGAAGTAGCTGGATTATACCTTTCAGATACATATGCGTAGTTCATCTATATATTAAAGGGAGATTTAAGCAAATGGCTCTTTAAGTGCGTATCCGGTAAACCATTTTCGAAATGCTTTTCAGTTATTGTATTCAGATACGCTTGTAGTTACGGAAATAGTTACGCCGCATTGCATAATATGCAGTTTCCTATATCAAATGGGGTCTGCGCTTCGATATGTGGGCGCCCAGCAGTTGGAACAATTGGGGCCATCGAGCAATAAGCGCTTAGCTATATCTTACGAATTTCCTCACGCAATCCTCCGACTCTAGTTAACAATTGGGAAATGGCATTGGAATTATTACTTGTGCGTGTGTGTGTGTGTGCATTTCCTCTTGAAATTAAAAGATCTAGAGATTAAAGTGGCATGACTTTGCTTAGTTTTATGAACTGAGAAAGACGGGGAATTCGAATGTGTCAGTCGACATGAACAAGAACTATTTGAGATGCCTGAAGCAGTACTTAAGATTTGTATACCCAAATCAAATTTAAGCTTTAAAGAGTAAAGAGTAAAGGATTTGAGTAATTTAATTTAAGAAATAAACTTAACTAAGGGAAGTACTTTGAGGCACTTAGAGTGAATGTTTGAGCTGAAGCCTCTTTTATTTAGGTATATGTATGATATAGGATAGTCTATAAGTAGTACCCACTAATTTTCTCTAATGCAAACAAAGTGTTTAACTCCTGATTAGGCTCTATATATAGTTATTTGGGTGGGATGGTTAGCAATTTGTAGGTAGGAAAAGTGTCACGAAGCAAATCGAATTTCCAAGAATAAAAAAAACATGGGCATTAGGTAAACAAAGGAAACCGGGACACTACAATACAGTCATAACTGTCCATTGGCTATTGGCCAAGTCAGGCGTGAGAAATGGACACATGTCGATTATGCAAAGCGATACGACAGGGCGTTTGCCAGGAAAACCTGACGAGTGAAAAGGAAGTTAAGTGCGAAGAAGGAGAGTGTGAGGGAGAGGGGGAGAGAGATGGGGTGCCAGCATATTGAATGCATTCAAGTGTCCATCAAATGCCTTTCGCTGGGCCCGAGTTCAATGAACTGTCAATAAATGGAACATACGCACACGTACTCAGGCATAATTATTGTGGCGCACACAATAGTAGTGGGAATAGTAGTAGAAATAGTAGTAGGAGTTGGAGGCGAGCTCAATCAAACTGCGATAGCTGGCGACATCCACGTCGGAAATTGGCGCTCTCAGAACCCACTCGGACGTATGATAGTCAATTTTACACGTCTACGACTGCCACAGCGTACTCGGCAATGGCAAACAAAAGAAAGAGAGTTCTCTATAAGGAATGCCGACTGTGAGATGCACTCGATTGAAGTAAACATAAAATTACATAAGGGGAGATAGAACTTTGGAAGTTCATTTTAATGAATTCTTTTATGGAGTTGCAGCTAGCTCATTTATACTTTTAAATATTTAAAAATGAAAATATAGAAAATCATGAAGTAAATATATTAAATTGTAAAATCTTCCCAAAAAAATATTTAAAATTGCAAAAAACTTTCACTCAAGCAGAGATTTTCAATACACAGAGTTTTGAACTTGCTCCTCTGTATTACCTCATCATTTGCGCTGCTCTGCTTACAATCTCTGCTCAGTCTGTTACATGCTTCACTAGGTAGTCAATGTACCCTTTGTTGTTTTGCACACACTGAGTGCAGCTCAAGTGCAATGCACTCGAGCAAATATGTTGATGCTGCAGTTTTACCTTTTGGGCCACTCCACACACATGACGAGCATTTTGTGCATGCTCCAACAAAATATCCCAAAATAAAACTCAGTTTCCATTTTAAGCATAAATTTAGAAAGAGAGAGAGAGAGAGAGAGAGGGAGAAAGGCAGCGAAATTGGATCATTTATCGGCGGCACTCGCTGCACAATTCATTCAAAGATATGCCACAGCTTCATTCATATCAGCACGCACACACATACACGTATGCTTATGCATATGCATACACATATGTACCCACAGTCACCCACACACACACACACACTCACTTATTTATGTAGTTGGCTGCCTCGTAATGAAAAGTGGCATATAAAGGCGCCGCTATTCATCACCAGCGGCTGGGGCTGGCTACATGGGGGCAGTTGCCTGCCCAACCGCAGGCGCTGCTGAGATTTCTGTGCCCCCACATTAAACGAGGGACAGACCCTGCACCCTGACTGAATGGCTGCCTGGCTGCCGACAGCACTCGCGTTTGCATCTGTCAGCAGCAGCGGCAGCAGCTTCTGACTCCGATTTTAGCCGCTACTAAATATTGTGGAAAAACATTTTTATGAGCCACAAATGAAAAATGAAAGAAAATGTTGGAAATGCATGACTGCATAACACTCGTTTGTCATGCCTTAAAAGCCTGCAGAAAATATTGAGAAAAAGTATTAAAGACAAAGTTCGGTAGATACCCTAAATAGATCTAGCCATAGAAGTTAGTAGCTCTAAGCGAAGATATAGTAGTGATCAACTGAAAACCCTTAAATCACAAACTACATGCACACAAAATACGAAACTAATATACCCCGATTCGAATACCCGAATTAGCACAGCATAGAATTCAAAAGAATCCTGTGTTGAATGCCTTTTGACTGCCTGCCTCTCTGTCTGTCTGTCTGGCTGTCTGTTTGGCTGTATGACTGTCTATCTGGCTGCAGTTGTTGCTCTGAATTTGATAGCCCAGCCAGTGCTAATATTATCATCCTTTCAACAGGCTATCATCGGTGCTCGCTTAACTATCAGACATTGATTGCTTTCACATGGATAGCAATTCGGTGAGTCCCCTGCCGCCGCTGACGCTGGAAAATGAGAAGACGCCGCCCGGCACGCCCAATGGCAATGAAATGCCACCGCCGCCGGATGAAAAGTGAGTTCAAATATCTGAATATCTAGAGAATTTTATTGGTAATAAAAATGTATTTTAAGACATGAATATTATATTAATCCGCGTCTTAAAGTGCTTTGTACTTTTGCTTTTACCTTAATGAATGAATTGGCTGCTCAGCATTAGTGGCTTATTGGGATATTGCATTTTGTTATATTATTTAGTAATAAATCAAACATAATATATTTCAAATACATTTTTGTAATGCTTACTATAATTAATATTTAGCAAAGTCTTAAACCCACCTGCAAAACAAACGTACAAGTGATTTAGCTGGTACACAAACCCGAACCACAACAATTTGAATCTGAAGCAATTCGAAGTAGAAAACGTCGCAAAGCAATTGTAATTTCATTAGCAATTTATGCTGATTTTACAGGGTATTTGTTGACATAACCAACCATATGGTGTTTCTCTTGCAAACACATGTCTAGCAGATCAATTTGCTATATCAGCTATGAAATTACATAAGTCTGTGCTGCGCTGCTCTACTCAACCCAACTCAATTTGCAGCTCAGTTTTCTCTGTGTTTATAAATATTTGAATGAAAATGGTGTCAAGTTGAACTGCGACTGTAGCAATTTGGCGTTGTCTAGCCCGACAATTTGGGGTATTTAAGCGAAAGCCCTGCCTTGACCTCGTCCTGAGCTGTCGTCAAAATACAAAATATAAATAAAAACAAAAAGAACTCGTTAAAATGGCGCTCATTAATCGTGCCGTAATGGCCAAAGTGTAACATTTACATTTCAAATAGAGGAAACGAACGTTACGAGCGCTAGTGACACGCCTTAAGCCAGCTGCCAGGTGGGCGGGGCATATGCCTTACGCCTTTCTCTGTTTTTAATGCGCCAATTTCCTAAGCCGTGTACACAGAGTCGCTCGTAAATTCTATTTTAATACGCGTTGCTCTCAAATCAGACTGACCAAAGAGATATATGGAACGAACACACACACACACACGCACACCTGTAAGCACACCTGTGCACACACACCTGTTTACACACGCACACATTCAACAGTTGATCGCGTGCGTGCGCCCAGTTGACGCCAGCCAAAACACGCTTCATCCTTCATCCTTTATCCTGTTTGACTGGCCTGCCCCATGACCTCCCTCCCACTGCTCCCATACCCCGTTGTAATTACTGCACACATATTTTGTTGGCCTTTTTGCTCATTTCATTTCGAATTCGATTTTGTGGGCGCGCGCTGAACTGGATTCGTGTTGCCCGGCTCCATGTGTAATGAGCACGCATTAGCTGGGTGTGTTCGTTCATAGTTAGGTTTGACTGTACGCTTTGTAATTGACAAACTCTAAGAACTGCTCCAATTTCATTTAGCATTAACCAAGTTCATTTGTTATAAATATATAGGGCATATATGATTGCTTAACAGCTGTTCTGATTGCTCTTCAAAAGTAAATTTATTTATTCATATATAAAAAATAGCCCCTGCATTATTCTATTAATAGAATATTAGATTAGTTAAGTCGTTAGTGTGTCATTTTGATTATCTAAGCAGCATTATCTAGTATACCATATTTTATATCTAGCATTTTATTATCACGCAGTTAAACTACAGATTTATTTAGTATATTTGTCAAAACTCAAGCAAATAAATTTATCTTTTGCAGTATTTGTCTAAAAGTCTCAAAAATATGCTCACATGCTTTTGGACAAGGTCACGAGCGTTTGTAAAAGATAAGATTAATCTTCTGACAGAAACATTTTAACATTTTCTGTAAGTCAGAATTTAAAAATATTTTTTTACAACTTTTCTCTGACAAAAACTTTTTATTTATATTCAAACATAATTCAATTTTATATTTTTGCACTAGACGCACTAGCTGGTTTGTGTCTATGCTTGATCATGTACACATTTCGAACTTCGATATTCAACATTTCTTTACACATTTGACAGTGCCATTTTGAGTCTAACAGCAGCACCGAATGTTAACGTGTCTCTGATTTAAAATGTACAATATACAATTTCTAGTGCTAATTTAGCATTGCTGACATATTAATAAAGTTATAAAATACATTTATAAAGATATATGATCTTCAAAAATAGTTGAAATATATAAACTTATTACAATGAGCATAGGTTTATAAAAATCGCCAAGATTTGCATTACCATAAGAAAAGCTCTCTTAACATAGGCTCGCCATTTCTCTTTCTCTTTCTCTCGATGCGGCAGCGCTCTCAGCTTATCGCTAGCATTTTTCAGTTGATTTTTCAGTAGTTCATTCGCCGTTGATCCGTATCGAGCGTAGGTTGCAGCAGCCGGAATATTGAATAAATATCGTGAGAAAATTACAAAAAAAAAAAAAAGAAATAAAACTTAATGTGTGTGGAGAACAAAACTTACAAAAATAACAAAAGACAATATAAACAATAACCTTGCGCTCTTATGTAGAAAGTGCTTAGACCGTGTCTGCCTTTTGTTTGATAGATACATCAAAAACTATCAATGGATGATCGTTACACGAGAAATCGAAAGTTTGAATAAATACAAAGAAACCGTCATTTACATATGCATCAGACATTAATTAAATTAAATTACAAAAAAAAAAAAAAACACGAATAAATACCTAAGTTTCTTGTATTTGCAACTGAAAATGGAATTTAAAGCAATGAGGAATCAAATTCAGCCTAGTAGGGCTATGTTTCTGAACAGCTAGAATGTCTGACCAATTAACGCGCTGATTAGCAAGTCAATTCACCAAATGTCAGATTGATTTATATATATACACGTACATATATATATATAAGTATTTATTACGTTGTCAAATGTTCCTCTCAGTTGCAAATTCAACACGTTTAATTTGTGTCAATACATCTATTTTTACAGAGAACTTAAATAATAATTTGTGGGAAATTCCAAACAGAAATTAAAAAATAAATACAAATAAAAGCTTGTTAAATCTCTAGCATCATCTCTCGAATTTTGATCTATACATTACGTATACGCCGTGTGCTCGCCTCTGTGTGATCGAGCGCGAAAGAAACAAAAGCTAAACACAAGGCACATACATCTACATAAATTCGCTTAAATGCGTGAACGTCATTTGGGCAAAATGCCGCGCGGAGGAACGACAACAGCGTAAGTGCGATGCGACGAGGGCTGTTCATGAAACACAGCACGAGGTTATCTAACAAAATTAGTATAGCTCTATATCTAGATTTTTTATTAACATGTTAATATTTTTGTGCTAATTGGAACGACAGTTCACGTGCCAAAAGCAGACAAACAAATATTTGATTATATTTAATAATATACCCTCAATATTTGAAGGATACTGTTAGATCTTAACTTACATCGTGATGTAACATATGAACATACTCTGAGAAAATAAAATGTTCAGAAAGGTATATTATATGGCTAGTCCTCATAGATGCAGCTTGATCTATGTACATCGTTGTTTACATAAGTGAACATCATAAGGTTTACTGCTCACACATCATGTTTATGTAATACAGATAGGCCTCAGCTTATATATAATGATGTATTAGCAGCAATACTCATAGAACTTACATTACATCGCAATGTGCCATGGCACATTTATTTCTCATGAGAAATACTAAAAGATCTAAGCTTACTTCATCATGCTTGATACTAAATTCTAATAGATACTTGCTTACATCATGATGTAGCATTGTGACATATCAGCTGCTTTGCTACTAAGCAATTTTATCTTATATAATCTACACTTTACTAAACTATTTTGTTATATATTGACTAACTGTCAACTCTTCGATCCACCCTGCATCTTAAGCACCCGCTTATACACACACATACGTACATTTAAATTGATAAATGATGTGTTGCTCGAGATGTAGATTGAATTCCTTACATATATGCCGGCAGAGCTCACTCTAAATCGAGATCGAGAGCGAGAGGGCGAGACAGAGAGAGAGAGAGAGAGAGAGAGAGTACTCTAAAGCAAGCTAAAGCCAAGCAGCCTGGCTCTTAATTCCAATAAGACAAACTTTATGAAGAAATGTTTATAAGTTTCTATGTATTTGTATATGAATATAAATAAATACAATAATTCAATGAATAAATTGCAGGGCAACTGCGCCAGTGTGTGGCGTTTGTGTTGCGTGTCGAGTTCTGGTACTGCGAATTTGATTGTATCTTTAAGATACAATTACCGTACACACACCAGCACACAAACATGCACACAGATATACACAAACACACATCTGCAGGCGTAACAGAAGCTGCCGTTAAACAAAACGAAGCACGAAAATGTTCCAATTGAAACTCCCCGAGACGTCGCTCAGTTCGTAAACAATTGTCGCCCATTGTAAAGCAACACCAACAACACATGCACGCACACACACACACACACACACAGATACTTGCTTGCAGTCTAAGCTTGTACATAATTAACCCGCAGGACACATTGCGAGCGTCTGTTTTATGATTTTTGTTTCTTTTCTCCTTCTTCTCTTCTGTGGTTTCGTCATGCTTGCGCGCAAACGTTTTAATTTCGTTACAAACGTACTTAAATTTTAATTGTATTTTCGTAATTTGTCACATCCTCAATGTGTGCTTCCTGCTGCCGGCTTATAGATGCATCGCGCAGCACTTGCCCAGATACATTTGTATCTGTGCCACAAGTAGCTGATGCGAGTCGCGCTCCAGTTTGGTTTTGCGCTCCTCGGTGCCATCCAATCCATACCACGCCATAATTAGCCCGCTTTCAACTGGGCGAGTTACTTGGCTAAAGACCAGTCATTGCTTGGGCGCTAATTATGGCGCACAGCAACGCCTAGATACATTTGTATCTCGAGATACACGTTGTAGCTGTTGAGCATTAGCTTGTTCTTATCTGTCTGTCCAAAGATAAGCGACTAGATGGACATCATATCTAGTTAATGTAGGTGCCTAATCTACTTGACTAACCTCTCAACTGTTATACTCCTACTTATACGTCTGCCTATGTGTACTTATACTTGCACTTATACTTCATACTCGACTGATCACTAAAGCAAAAATGTAGGTTCTTCTTATGATAAGCTGATGTTGATAACCTTTTAAACATTAATGCACAGACTTATGCTTGACCTTATACTAACTCACTAAATGACTATTTTAGTAACATTTATCTTGAATTAAGTTTCTTTGAATGCCCTCAAACAAATTCTGTTCTTATACTTATATCATATTCATCTTATACTTGTGCTGAAAATGATGTTTCCAAGTATACTTATAAGTAAACTTATACTTACAAGTATATTTATACTACTTATACTTATACTTATACTACTAAAATAGAAGTTGAAGTTTGGAATTTTTCCCCACACCCAAAAAAGACTGAAGGTAATAAAGATTACATAGCTTAGCAGACATAGGCAGGTGCGATATGATTTATGGACTAGCCTAGGATTTTGTGCAATTAAAAGAGTGCAAAAATTGAGAGTTACAAAGTATTGTAATACAAAGTATAGAACTTTTATTGCTGCACCTATGCAGCTATAGAGACAAGAAGCATATGCTAAGAATGCAATCTGTGTACCTTAGCCATAAAGCTTTACCAGATCTGCATATCTAATAGTACCAAAGACATAGCTAAATATATTAGATAATAAATAGTCATCATACTATTTAGGTTTAAGGATATACCAGTAAGACACATAACGTAAGGGCTTAGGCTATAAATGTAACAACTGAAGCTGAGTGAGTTTCTAGTTGAATCAAGCACTTCAATTGGTCACCTGGGAATAAATACATAGGCTATAGAGAATATAAAAGTGTTTATAATACAATAATAATAATAATATATTTGCCGCATAATAGAACAATCATAATATTACTGCTTGAAAAAGTTGGTAAAGAAATATAGATATTACACTATATGCTATCTGAAGATCTTGAACTGTGATCTGCGGATTGTTATGCATATGTATATACTGTCATATATGGCTCCTATATATAATAGGATTTTATATGCCTACGACATGCAATTCAGTTGTATTCAATTCAATTTATGGCTATCAAAATAATGACTTAGACAATCTACAACTAATTTAAGCTTTGCCTGCTTTCGCTATGGCTAAAGAGGAGCTGCTGCTGCTGGTGTTGTTGGTGTTGTTATTGTTGCTGTTGTTGGTGTTGCGGTTAAAGAACTGTCAACTTAAGATTTTAGCTTTCATTCATTAAACAACAAACCAGGCACCAGACAGTCTACAGTCATGTCTGTTGCTGCTGCTGCTGCTGCTGTTGTTGTTGTTGTTGTTGGGTGTATGCAGTGTCAAGCACCTCGAATAGTTGCTGACCCATTAGCAACAATTGGCATTAAATTCATCTGGAGGCACGTTGAAAGCCACGGTTGCAGGTTCATGATCAGGTTTCGACTTGCAACTTGCAACTTGCCACATGACTATGTAAAACGAGTTGTGGCAGAAAAGCAAAAGCAAAAGCCAAAGCCAAAGCTTTTAGCGAAATTTTCCCAGAGCAGACGGGTGAAAAAAAGTGAAAGAGATATATACACAGATGCAGATGCAGATGCAGATACWACAGTTGCAGCTGCAGCTGCCGCAGCCGCTGCCCCCGCCCATTGTGGTTGCTAAACAATTTGTGGTCGTTGTTGTTGCTGCTGCTGCTGCTGTTGCTGTTGCTGTTGCACTTGGGCGGCAAGTGAAATGTGTGTTAAAGCAAACAGCCTGTTCGTTCGGCTGCCCGCAAGCAGCTCATGTGTTGAAAGCTAAATGCCTCTACACTTATACATATACAAATGCACACACACACACACACACATCTAAATGGTTGTGCTGTGCATTCGCCCGTTCATTGACATCGCCCGCTGAGACATGATGCATCGGCTGCACCGCGCCTAATGAAATTGTCAGGGCAACAACAACAGCCGCCAACAACAACAACAACAACATTGTCGGTCGATCGGTCATACGGATGCTGCGGCAACATGTTAATTAAAGCGCTTATTATGCGGCGTATCACAAAATGTTGCAAGTGATATTAAAAAACCCAAAACCCAATTAATAATTTCAGCCACTGTCCACACAAACACATACACACACACCGACAGCAGCGGCTGAGAAAGTGCGTGCCTAAATAGGCTATTTAACAAGCTGTCTTTAAATACCCTGCACTCATTAATAGTGTTAAAGGGTAGATAGATTGGCTATCGATTTGGCAGATAAGAATATTGGAATATAGTGAGAGTAAATCTTATACAAATGTAGATTGTCTTATACGGTATAAGAGCTTTAATGAGCTCACCAGAAATATCCACGACAAGAATATTTATCACTGAGATCAGTCTTCAAATAAGAGACGTTAACTATCTATATAGAAACATTTAACTGTTATCTTTGCTTTCATAATCCTAGTCGTAACAGACAATCAAATCTGAGAAGAATAGAAATGACATAAGAAAAAGCCAACAAAATAATTCAAGTTTCATTACGACCGCTGAACCCGGATTACAGGGTATTACATAAGACTTGTAAGCAATTAAGAGCACCATGCGATTGAGATATGCACTACAGGGCATTGGCTAGTGTCACACTTTCCACTATAAATTACCCTCACACTATCATTATGTTGCTCATAAATGCTTTGGCTTTTGCTTTCATTATCAGGCGCCGAGTGATTTCTTTGGCTTTGCGCACTATTAATTTAAATAATAACAATAATGATTTTGTTTGTTTTGTTGCTTTCGTTTTGTGGATTGGGTTGTTGCTGTCACTTCAAGTGCAGCAGCGATTGCACTTGGAGATGATTAAGCAGCTCGTTGGCCAACAGCAATGCGCCTAATTACCCACAGACCCCAACGACACCACCAGTGAGACCCCCACCCCCACCTATCCTATCTCAGCTACTGCACTCCACATTTGCTGTCTGTTTACTTGGAACAGCTGCTCGTTGCATTCACTGTGAATTGTGATACGGCAGCAACACTGTGAGAAATTTCACAGTACGACAAGATGAGCACCCATTCCTCCATGCTGCATCTGCTTATGGATGCTGAGCTCATCTCCATTTCAGCCATCGAAATGTTTTGTCATCTGATCACACGCGAATGATGACGAAAAGTTATTATTATTATTTATTATGTGAATACCATTTTAATTGGCATCGAATTGCATATGCTCCATAAAATTCAAGCGACAATTGAGAAAATATTTATGTAGAACGGAGTTCTACATGAGCATGGCATACATCATATATCTTGAATATGATATATTTGCTTAAAGTTTTTTTTCTTTAGCTAAATTTGGCATGTGCCGTTGAAATTGTTTGCCATTTATCTCTCGATCAATGGAAATATTTATATGTTCTTAAGTAGAATTATATACATAGTTTCAGCTTGGGAATTAATAGCAAACTTTTGATTAGCGCGTTAAAGTAAACCCTTTCCAAACATAAGCCGTACTTGGCATTTTATTATATATACACTCTTATATAACCGCTGAAACGAGACCTAGACAAGGTTCCAACTTGCCTATTATACCCTAATATTCAGCAAGCTTTCCAAATGTGATCATAAAATATGTAAAACTTTTCAAACACACAAACAATATTATACAGAAAAAAAAAAACAAAAGTACAAAAAAAAGGAACACTGATTAGATAATCCCCATGGGCAAAATAGCGGATTATTTAAAAGAAACAAAAGGCTACAAGAAAATAAAGGAATATTTAAAAAAAGAACAGTAAGAAAATGAGTACAAAAGGCGATGCTAACTCAATTGTATTTGAATAAGTCTGAGTCTGAGGTAGAGTCTGAGGTTGAGTCTGAGTCTGAGATGATGACGATGTCGAGGCTAAAGAACTGAACCAATTAGCGGACAAATTAGATAATTGCTAGAGTTTTTATTTGTTGTTCAGATTTGCCTTTGTGTTGTGAAGTCAGTGGAAATGTTTGCTTTATCAAGCAATTAAGAGAGAAATTGTAGGTAATTATGTAAGAGGGAGAGACTCGGGCAAACTGTAATTATGTAAGATGCGAGAGGGAGACAGTCAGACTAAAGATCTTTTACATAATTGAATAAGCAAACGCAAATAACTGAAATCAACCAAATCCTACATACACATACATATTTGCATATAGATAGATAGCAGGCTTAACTTGGATAAACAATTATGGAGATAATTGATCGCAACTTTATAGATGTGCTAAATCGAGCCATACTCGGAAAGAGTAAACCAAGTGAAAAGTAAATCTGATCTAAAACTTATTTAATTTATATATGAAAATCTCTCCCCTTCTTCTTCATATCATTGCAGACGTTATGAGGAGGATCCAGATAATGCCTGGAACTGTTGTTCCTGGTGTGAATATTTGTTAATCGTAATACTCTCTACCATATTGCTAGTGGGTGTCTTGATATTGGCACTCTTCTGGGTGATGTTCTATCGCGGCGGCTTCGCCTGGTCGGAAAAGCCACTGAAGCAATTCAACTTGCATCCCATTCTGATGATAGCGGGCTTCGTAACGCTATCTGGATTCTGTAAGTTGAACATGCTAGATGTGGATCATCAGATATATCATCTTATATATATATATATCATTTCAGCTATCTTAGTTTATCGTCTGTGCCGCTGTGTCAAGCACATCTATGTGAAACTGATTCATATGTTCTTTCATGCTGCCGCAATACCCTGTATTGTTATGGGCTTCCTCTCCGTCTTCGACTCGCACAATGCAATGGCCAAGATCAATTTCTATAGCCTGCACTCATGGCTGGGCTTCGTGACGATGTGCATGTTCCTGCTGCAGTTCGTAATTGGCTTCTTAACGTAAGTCTCCCACGCAGCTCTTGCCCAAGCATATCTCTATGGCCTTTAACTTTTTCCTTCTCAGATTTCTGGTGCTGCTCTGCTGCGACAATAAAACCTACAGCTGTCGCTCGGCCATGGTGCCGATACACGCCAGCCTGGGCTTGGCCAACTTCTGGCTGGCCATAGCCACCGCTGTGACGGGCATCATCGAAAAGGAACGCGAGACTGCCAAGGATCCCACACTGAGGTGAGTCCCAGGCTGAACTCTATGGAACTCTCGTATTCAAATCGCTTCTCTTTGCAGCGACGATAATCGCATGATTGAGCATTACATAACAACTGCGATGGGCGTCACTCTCATTCTGATTGGCGTTATTGTCACCTTTGCCGTGCGAAGAACCAATGCACCTGCCTCTGCCAAAGTCTATGTGACCGAACGCATTTAGATTGTGGCCAACTGCCACGCCCATAACTACGGCCGCCTGCCACAGCCAGTGTTAAAATAGAGCTGAAGCTGTCTGTTCTAAAAAAAAAAAAAAACAGAAAATCAAAAAACATTCGTCACATCCATAAACTCTCTCCGTTGTCTGTGTAGCACAAACAGCACAAAAGCTTCTCTTCATATACATACATACTATACTATACGATACTATATACATATATACACTCATATGCCAAATCAAAAATTCGTTCTACAAAATCAAAATCAAGAATCTTTGCCTACATTTGCTGCTAAGTAGTTTTGTCTATATACATACATATATATATATATAGTAGTAGATTCATTAGATACAGGCGAGAAATATGGATATAAAAAAAAAAAAAAAATCTTATAGTACCGCCCAGCCCAGAGACCAAGCATTAGAATTTTACACAACAAATTGAAATAGTAACTAAATATACAGCAAAACAAATTTAAAAAAAAAAAAGAAAGGAAAATTCTTAGAAATTTATAAATAACTAACTTTAGTATACAGCTGAATTCTTAGCCAGATCTTTTGATACTATTCAAATACTATTCATTATATATATAATATAAACACCTATTGTACTATACGAAACTAATGCATAAAACTTTTTTATATTTACATACGTAGTTATTGTCGCATTTGATGTAATTTTTTGCTAAATATTTGTAATTCATAAACGAAAACGAAAACGAAAAAAAAAAACACGCCTAAGCAATATAAGTTGTAAACCCCAAAATTTACAAGTATATAATAAATGATTCTTTTTATTTATTAAAATTACAAAATATGTGTTCCAAATGCGCTTCATGTAGAATAAATAGTTAAACTCTTCTTTTCAGTTGCAATTCATTGACTAACTGCATTTGTAGCCCTTGAGCTGGGGCAATCGTAGTGCTCGCTTCTTAATCAAAATCACATTTTGATTGCCTGATTGTGACGTTCGGCCAGTCACATAGATTGTGCCATTATTTGTGCCAATCGAATAGACGCTCACATTCTTCGGCTCGCGCTTGCTAACGGGCATATCGAAGTTGCGCACTCGCGGCTCGGGCTTGCTGTTGACATGGATGTTCTCTATATCTAGTTTGAAAGGCGAGACAAAGTTGCGTATCCAAGGCTTCGGCTGGAGCAGTTCGCGCTCCAGCTGATGGCTGCGATTGTCGTCCGCCTGTTGCTGATCTCCATCACGATCCTCCTCGTGATCCCGTTCATGATCTCGATCCCGCTCGTGATCCTGATTCCGTACCTGATCTTTGTCAGACTCCGGTAGCTTGCGTACATAGGACAAATCTGGCTCAAAGGCCGGCACTTCACCCTGGCAAAAGAAATGAGAGTTTATTGTCTGATTTTTCAAGTATTCTATTTCACTTACCATGCATACGTGTAGTTTCTGTGCCTTGGTATTGTCAGCTATCAGGAGTCCGCATTTGCATTCGACATAGCCGTGTAGTCTGTATATGGGTCCGATTTTCTTAATGCTAAAGCAACGCTTTACATGCGCTGTCAAATTTTTAAACTTTTCTATGGATCGGCCACAGCTTGGGCAAATGGATTTATTCTTGATTTCATTTACTGTATACCAATAGGTTTTGCGATTCTGCAAAACACTGTAACGTTTTTTACTGATCTGCAAGTAGATAGAGCAATTATTTAATAATAATTATACCTAAAGCAACAACAAAATAGGAACAGGAGATACGAACCGTCATGTCCTCGTCACTTGACATAATTTAGCATTTGGATTTCAATGAGATAGTTGTAAGACTGTATTGTATATTAGACGCTTTCAACTTTCAACTTAATAATATATCTTAATTATAAATGTTTCCAGCATCCAGGAAAATTAAAGTCACATTGTTTACGTTTGCCAATGCGTTTGCAATTCTGGCTGCGCATCAATCCAGTGCGTACGCTGCTTAGCCTATGTTCAAGACACTTTCTCGCTCGTCCTAAGCTCACGAATTGTTTAATATTTTGTATATTTAAGCACAAAATGCTATTTGTTGATATTTTATCTGTTTTAAGTTGTTTGCTGCCATTGCAGATGCTATTAAATAAACTATTGTGAACGATAATTTTTTTAAAGATAGTTTCGCAACACTGCACTTATCGGTCATGTATCGGATTTTTATTGCCTGCCTATCGTCCACCCACCACAAATTGTCTCAACAAGAAAATATAAAATTACGAGCAATTTGAAAGAAACAAATATAAAATACATTTCGTATAGCTGTATGTGCCCTAAGCGCCAAATACTCATTAAGAAGCATAATAAAAATATATAACAATAAATCATAAATATTTTTCTATGTGGATAGCGTAATAAATGAGTTTCTACATATGTATATAAACATTTTGTAAGAGAAATATGGGTAAGTATTTTCAATGGCTGTAGAACATTGTTAAAGATTGTTTAAGTGATATTAAACTTCCCTTGGTACAGAAGCAACAGCAGCTACGCCGTGTTTGCTATGCCTGGAGGAGAATCCATTGACACTGCATGATTATATGGATGTATTTTCGACAAAGGCTGCCCAACTGAATGTGGTGCAAATTATCAACAAACATTTTCCGATAGAGCTGATACAAAGCAGCGGCGAAACTCGGAAAATATGCCCACCATGCTGGAAAACGGTTTCCGCTTTCAATACGCTACACGATTTCGTCTGCGCTGCACAGAGCTCGCTGCGGGAAGCGAAGGTGTTGCTCATGGAGGATGACCCGCTGACCCAGGCGAACTTCAAGCAGGCCAATGCCGATGCAGCCGATCTAAATGCTCGCAACTTCTTCTACCCTGAGGTCAAGATAGAGGAACATGAGCTGGAGCAGTTGCCCAAAATTGAGGTGCTCGAAGGTACGAGCAGTCTGCAGACGCCCTCGCCCGCTCGTCGTCTGCGAAAACGTGTCAAAGCGGAAGCAGAAACCGCAAATGCCCAATCAGAATCACAAGAGGTTAATGCAAATGAATCTGTAGAGACAGTTGAACCGCCGAAGAAACGTCGCGGGCGACCACGCAAAACCGAAGTCTTGCCTAAACCAAGTCCAGCTGAAACGCAACCGGAGCAAACGTTAGAATTGCCGTCCAGTCTAAAGACAGAAGCGGAACATCCCGAAGACTTCAGTGACGATGAGCAGGAGTTCATTGCCGAGTTTGTTGATGGACTTGCCCACAGTGACGAAAGCAGCGAGGAGGAGGAGGATGACGATTCTGATTTTACGATTGGCAAGCCGGATGACGGTGAATTCGCCATCATACCGAAGCGTACTCCAGTCCGACCTAAGAAATATAAGAAGCGTGCCAAGCCAGCGGAGCCGCGAGTTCGCATGTCCCGTGAACTGCTCGATCAGCGCAAGAAACAGCAGGAGGAATTCGATGCGATCATAGCCAAGTTCTTCAGCGATGTGCTGCCCTGCTCCATATGCAATCTTCTAGTGCATAACTTTACGGAAATGCAGCGCCATCATCGACTCACACACCAAGTGGATCCGGGTTATATGATTTGCTGTGGACGCAAGTTTACGCAACGTAAAGTGCTGGCCGAACATGTCCTGGTCCATTGGAATCCCGATCACTTTAAGTGCACCACCTGCGAAAAGTCATTCCAAAACTCAAGGCATTTGGAGTCGCATCAACAGGTGCACCTGTCCAAGTTGACCTTCCAGTGTGATCTGTGCAGCAAGGCATTCCTTAGCAAAACGGCCATCGACTATCATAAGCTGAACAAACATGTGCCCAAATCTGAATTCAAATTCACCTGCAGCGAGTGCAACAAAAAGTAAGTGAGATCCAATAGGTAACCATAAGTTTACTAATCCGCGATCCCTTGCAGATTCCTGACTGAACGCAAGCTGAAGAATCATATGAACTCCATGCATGATCCGGAGAGCATTATCATTTGCGACAAGTGCGGCAAACAGATGCGCACGAAGATCATCCTGAAGAAGCATCAAGAGCTGATGCACTCAAACACCCCACGTCCAGAGCCCGAGCTGAAGCAGTGTCAAATCTGTGGCGCCTGGCTGAAGGGCATGACAGGTCTGAAGCAGCACATGAAGAGCATACATGTGGAGAGCGCGGGCGAGCATCGTTGCCATGTGTGCAACAAGTTATCACCAAATGCCCGTGCGCTGCGTCGTCACATCTATCACAAGTAAAGCCTACAAAATACTCTTGGAACGAACATAAACTAATCTCTCTTCTCGTTGGCAGTCATGAATGCGAGCGCAAGTTCAAGTGTACCATGTGCGACAAGGCCTTCAAACGTCCACAGGAACTTAAGGTCTGCTCAAAGCTCTTTATATTTCCCCTTGTTTAAGTTAACTAATTGTAATTTCACCCCAACAGGAGCACACATCCACCCATACCGGCGAAGTTTTGTACACCTGTCCCAACTGTCCGATGACCTTCTTCTGCAGCGCCAATATGTATAAGCATCGCCAGCGTTTGCATCGAGCCCAATACGAGGCCGATAAGAATCAGCCCAAGCCTCCAAACATATTGCAGCAAGCAGTGGGCGCCACGGCCGCCATGAAGATTAAGTTGATGCAGAATACAAATGTGGCCAGCATAGAAACGGACTTGAAGCATTTCTAGATCAATATATAAGTTACCTTAAGGCCCCTAGATTAAATAGTTTTAGTTTATCGTCTAGTTGTGTAAAGTTCAAACAAGAATATAGAATATATATACATAAATATATATTATATAGTATAGTCGATGTCGACGCACTTTCGTATATGTTTACTGTCTTTTCTTGGGCGGAGTTGC